ATGGATAAACACTGGACACCTGAAGGTTAGAATTCATGGAACTGGTGAAAGCGATCAGCAGTGTCACTATGAAGGGGATAGATGGCCTTCTAGAAAATCTTTGAAGAATGGATAGGCCTCTGACAGAGATTACAAGGGGATGGAGATGATGAGTGAGAAAGGACAAGTGAATGAGAAAGTTGTCCTCTCCAGGTGCAAGGAACTGTGTGAATAAGCTGTGGGGAAGATGTCTGTGAAAGCCTATTTTGTGTGATCTGTAAAACGCTATATAATGTATGTTCTACCCTAAAAGACATTAGTTAAAAAGGTTTTAAAGACAAGTCCTAAGGTATATTCAAGGTACAGATATTCTTTATGATATACAAACTCTTCCTGAGACCAGAAAAAGAACAAAAGCTATTCTAACTCATTTAATGCAGCTAATATAAGCTTGAAACTATAATAAGAAAACTACAGCATTAAAATATAAAATCATAGGTCAGTATCATTAATGAAAAAAATGAAAAAAAAAACTGGCAAGTTGAATCTAATAGTATATTAAAAAACAGTAACAACAAAAATACTGTGATAGAATGTCAAGGAGAGAGGCATAACCATAACTACAGTCAGATTTCAGCACAAGTACAGACAAAATAAGTAAAGATATATAATAGAAGACTTAAACAAGATTATGAACTAACTAGACCTAACTGACATTTTTGAAAAGTTCACAGGACAACAGAAAGATACACAATTTTTTCAAGTGCAATCGGTATATTTACTGAAATAGACCATATTCTGGGCCATAAAGGAACACTCAATAAATTAAAAAGATTCAGACCATACAGGGTAAGTTCTCTGACCAGGTCAGTTCTGTAGAAATATATAACCAAAACATATCTGGGAAAGTTTCAAACATTTAGGAACTACATAGCCTACTTTACATAATTCTTGGATAAGAGAAGAAAATTAAAAAGAAATTAGTATGTAATTTCCATTCAAAAATGAAAACACAACATATCAAAATTTGTGGGATGTAGCTTAAGCAGTATTAGAGGAAAATTTACAATACTAAAATGCCTGTATTAGATAAATGATGGGCTCAAATTAATTGACCTCAGCTTCTATTTCAAGTAGCTAGAAACAGAACAGTAACAAACACAAAGTAAACAAAAGAAAAAAAATAAGAGCAAAATCCAATAAAAAATAGAAAACACAAAATTTTTAAAATCAATAAAATTAAACACTAGTTTGTTGAGGTCAATAAAATTGATCAGCCTCTAGCCAGAATGATAAAGGAAAACAAAAAAGAAGACACAATTACTGACATCAAGAATAAGAGAGATGACATCACTAGATAACAAACATCAAAAGGATATTAAATTTATTGGCAAGGCTGGAGGGAAACAGACAACCCATAAACTGCTGATGGTAATGAAAATTTGTAATATCCCTTTGGAGGGATATCTCAGAATATCTAATAAAACTACATACGTTGAAAAAAAAACTACATATGCATTTATCATTTGACCAACCATCCTCACTTCTAGGAATCTACCTCTAACCATACAAAAATTATAATTGCACAAGGTTGTTCTTCCAGCACTGTTGCAACAGTAAAATATCGGAAAGAAATACCCATATACAGGAGAGTAATTGAACAAATTATAGCAGTGACTGGAGAAGGAAATGGCAACCCACTCCAGTATTTTGGCCTGGAGAATTCCATGGACAGAGGAACCTGGCAGGCTACACTTCATGGGATCACAAAAAGTCAGACATGACTGAGTGATTAACACATAGTAGTGACACGATGGAGGATTATGCAGCTGCAAAAAATGAAAAAGATTGCTATGTACTAATTGGCTTCAAATCTGTAAAATGTGCAGATAAAGAGGTTAATGGGATTAGTCAATTTTTTTTTAACTATACTCTCCTAAAAAGACTTTGGTATCCTGGAAATACCTCATAAAGCTGAGCTCTGATCGAAATGGATTAGCACAAATAAGGGAGTACCACTAAGGATAGATGCAAACCACCAAGAGGCATTGGCCAGAAAACAAAAACAAGGAAAAGAGCAAAGAGTCGGTGGAAGGGAACCTGTGAGAAAATTCATAAAGCAGTTCCTGTAGGTGGTTCCCATAAAGACCCTCCTCTAGGCCCAAGACTGGAAAAGGGAGGGAGCAGGTAAAACAATGACCCTTGTGTCTCTGAATGGGAACTGTTGAGGGTGCAATGGGACTCAGCCATTTCAGAATCTCATATCCAGGGCAGATCCCCAGGATGCTGCTGCCTGGGTTGAGATCCAGGGAACCTCTTGAGGGTTGAAAAACCTGCTGATATCCCAATGAGAACCACTATGTGAAGGGCCCAAAGCATCTAAATTCCCTCCTCATGAGTGTGTCCTCTCTCCACTACACTAGGGCTGCCCAGGTTGAGGTTCATGCCTCTCTTGCATCTCCAGGCACCTGGAACCTTAGAGCAAAAGTCAGTTCCGTTACTCTCTGATCAACCCCATACCCACTCCCACCACTAACTTGCCTGCAATACCGAGTCCAGTCATCCCCACTGTCTGACAGATAGAAGAGAGAGTGCCAACTGGATGGGAGGAACGGAGGGGTATAGTACCTCAAAGATCCCATCTGATCACATCCCTGCCTCTCCAGAGCCAGCGCTATGGGTGTACACAAATCGGGTATTCACATATTGTCACTTCACCGTGTCCTCTTTCTAGGCACCCCTGAAGCCAACTGCTTCCTCGTATCCACCTCCCCTACCCAAACAGAGGAACAGTCGCCCAACGCTGGGTGGGGTGAGGGGCGTTCAGAAAGCAGGATGGAGCAGGAGGGACCACGAAGGTCCCAGGTGCTTCCTCCACGAACATCTAGTCTCTACCACCACCTCCCATCGATGCTATTTCCCGACCTCGAACCCACCTCCTCCAACAGCGGCCGCTGCTTCTCTCCGCATACGCCTCCCTCAGGATGACTTCCGGCCTCTTGAGCTCCTGGACAAAAATCAGGCCCCGGCTAAGACGCTCACGATTGGCTGAGGGATTGTGTCCTCTGCCAACAAATACCGTAATCCTGGGTACCTGAGGAATTCGTTTTCAGGCTAGTGCACCATGAAGAGACATCCACCCACCCACCATTACATCCTACCACTCCTCTTACAGCCGTCTGTCAAGCGTCAGGTGCAAGTCTTTCCCGACCCTTTTCAGTACTTACACACCTCTACGCCGGTTCAAGCGAGAGCGCCGTCACGTGACCCACCCTCAGCCTCACGTGACCGCACATTTGGCATGTCTGTCGCAGCCCTGCAGTAGCAAGCAAGGTACAGTCTTCTGCCTCTAGGGCTGAGCTGCTTGCTAGAACAACCTGAAGCTCCCGGTGGTGGTGAAGATAGAGAGCTGAAAGGAAGGCTGTTTTGGAGCCAACGCTTCCGTCCTAAGACTGGGCTTTGCTCTGTAGGAACACAGGGCTGGCGAGGGACATTCCTTGAGGAATTCAGAGACCAACTGACTTTTAATATTCTGTATAAACCTCGTTTGAGTAGGCTCCGGGAGTTGGTGATGGACAGGGAAGCCTGGCGTACTGCAGTCCATGGGCTCGCAGAGTGGGCCACGACTGAGCGACTGAACTGATGAAACTCGGGTGATGTATTAAAACACACACAAGATCTGTCTTGAAAATACTGATAGGCAAAACATTCAGTCTCCAATTTCCACCACCAGGACGATCTCTGTTATCACTTTTGGTTTGTGAATGGATGAAATCTGGCACTTTGCCCTACTTACAAAAATCTTACAGCCTAGAGTCTTATAGAAAACAAAACAAAACTTTCCATCCTGAGACAAACCAAGGTGAATAAAAATTTGTGTATTTTCCTTTATCCTGGACTCCCTCCTACCCCAAATCAACATAATCCCTGACTTTTAATCCTGTCTGAAGATACATTATTACCTTTGTGAATCCAAAAAAATGTGTACCATAAAGTCAGAAACTTTAGAAAGTTTACAATTTACTCCCTTTAAATAATTATGCACTTTTATTTGGCAACCCAGTCCTAAATTGTAGTCTCTCGCACTTCTTTACTCTTTTGACATGTTTTAAATGGTTATAAGATTTTCCATAATAAAATAATATACATTTCATAAATTCAGTCCATTTCACATATTTGGGGAGTATCATCCTTCCATATATTTTACCAGTTTTTCCTATTTCATCAAATATAGAAGGCATTAGAGCTTTTCTTAGCCAATTAAAAAACCTGTATATCATCACTCTTAGTAGCTGTATGTTATTACCTTAACACTCTCCATGGCACCACCATGAAGAAACAGTCTTCCTGACAGTTAAATTTGTGTGCTTTCTGGTCTTTTTCTTTTAACTTGTGGGCCAGTGGTCTCCAACCTTTCTGGCACCAGGGACCAGTTTCATGTAAGACAATTTCTTCACAGACTGGGGGTGGGGGGGATGAGGATGGTTCAGTTGGTGATGTGAGCAATGCAGGGGGGCATGGTTCAGACAGTAATGCAAGGGATGGGGTGAGCTCAGAGGAAGCCTTCTGTTCACCTCCTGCTATGTGGCCTGGTTCCCAACAGGCCACGGACCAGTACTGGTCTGCACCCCAGACCCCTGCTTTAGGCAGTATCAAAGAAACACCCATACTTTGAACTGCAAAATGCACCTTCTCAGCTCTTCAAAACTTACCTCATTTTATATCGCTTAATACTCCTCATAGCCACTCCAGGCAGACTGGATACCTCACTCCCATAGGAGCACTATTCCAACTGTGAGCTTTTCTTCACAACATCCAACCTCTTTCCTACATTTCAGAGCCCAAATCAATTGGGTGCTTTTTCTCTAAATCATACCCTGAGTAGCAACCCATGGTAACATTTGCATTTACAGATATAAGAATAAGCTTTTTCAAGGAACATTATTATTCATACATTAATTATCTCTATGTTGTCATGTGTTATCTTGGCATCTATATTTTAACTTCAAGGAGAAGGGTGATTTCTGCCTACTTAAACACAGAACTTTATTGAAAACAGGGCATGACTCAAATCGACATCAGTAACACCAGAACAACAATCAGAAGGGTAGCTTACTTATGATGGCTCAATTCACTGTAAGTTTAAATACTAAATTCACAATCTGGACAAAAACAAGTATCAACAAATGTGCTTTCAGTTTTAGTATTCATTTGGCATCAGAAGATAGATCCAGCTCATACAAAGTTGGGCAAAGTTAGTATCAGCATTAAGGATGCACATTACAACATAGAACCAACTTTGAAAACGTTATTCAAGGATCATAACTCAGGAACATAAGGATAATCACAGCCAAGTAATTAATCATACTCATTTTTTTGGTCTGCCTCGGGGTCATTTTTATGGTCTATTTTGCCTTGCAGTTCCTTAGCAAATTTCTCAATTTCATGGAATGCAGAAGTAAGTGGCTCAAGACTGAAATCATCATCAGCGAACACCACCTCTTTTTTTATATTGTTACCAATATTCTCAAGCATTGCTAGAACAACTTTAATATTATTTGTCTCTTTCCTGCTAAAAAGGCCCACCAATTCTGACACTGCTTAAGCATTGAGTAGTTCTTTTGTCATGACAGGATTTTCAGACAAATTCAACAGTATTTTCAAAACATGAAACCTCGTTTCAGTATTGCCTGTGGCTAATAACAAAAGAAACCCAGATATATACCTGGCAACCAGTGTGTGATAGTCAGTGGCTCTAGTGAGGTGTCTAACCATTTTTATTCCAGATAACTGCTCAGGGGAATCCAAGCTATAAGCAACAGTTTCCTCACATACCTGATATACATATGTCTGAATTATGTTTAAATTTGGGTAAGGTGGAGCCATGTGAATCATATTCTCTAAAAACCTTGTCCTAACTCGGGAGGAGGGATAATTGAGCAAGGTTTCAATAAGTGAGACAACACCTGAATCATGAATGAAATCATAAGCATATTGAGAAGTAGTTCTCATACCCATTGCAATTTTAGATATTTCATGAATAAATACAAGGATCTCGAATTTTGTCCATTAATAGTTCTTCCTCTTCAAACTCTTCAGGACCAATTTTAAGCTCACACTGTATGCAGCTGCAGGAGCAACTCTCAGGCTCTGCACTCTCCCTGGTCCTAAGATGCTCCCGAATTTGCATGACTGACCAGTAGAATGGATCATACTGAAATGAGAACTTGGTCAGGTTGATCAGGCTGAAGCAAAGATTCCTGGTATTCCCCTTCTAGGCTCAGTTCCATGTGCTTTGGCTTTCCTCCAAACATTTCAGAGAATAGAAATGCTGCTTCTTTTGAAAATCTAAAGGGGCTTGGGGATGGGAAGCCAACCCTACCCCATGGGCCAGGCTTGAACTGAACAGTAACCTCCTCCCAGCTCTGGGGCCTGTGTCAACTGAACATCTGGACTTGGAAATGGCCCTGTACACAGGGCTAGGATCTGATTCAAAATGGGTCTCATCTCCTGCCCAAAACCAGGACCCCACGATGGCCTCATCCTCCTCAGCTATTATCCTGGACTCAGAGTTGGTTCCATCACCAGGCCTGTTATTGTCCTCGTTTTTAGGCACAAACCAGGACCCAACAACTGCCCTTTCCTCATTTTCTGCCCTAGACTCAGAGGTGGCTCCAGTTTCAGTCTCATTAATGTCCTTGTCTCCAGATAAGAAACAGGACTCAACAATCATCTCTTTATCATCCTCTGGCTTAGACGCACAGTGTGTTTTGGCTTCTACATTGACTTCTTTTGCATCCCAGAACCAGCATTCAAAAATGGTTTCCTCTCCAGACCTTGATGTTGTCTCTTCTACTGCCTGAGGTCTAATGTCTATACTCTCTTCTTCAGCCCAGAACCAGGACCCAACAATGATTTCCTCCTTTTCAGCTCCATGCTTGGATTCAAAACTAGCCCCTGCCTTGAGACTGGTCTCTTCTGCAGCCCAGAACCAGGACTCAACAATGACTTCCTCCTCTCCAGCTTTTGGACTGTATTTGCTGCAAATATTAGCCTCGTTCCTAATGGCCTCTTCCCTGGCCCAGAACCAAGACCCAACAAAAAGTTCTTCAGCTGCCAGCCTGTCCTCTTCTCTAGCCTCTGCTTCTGTTTTAAGCCTGTCTTCCTCCCTAGCCCAGAACCAAGAATCAATAGTCTTCCTCTTCAATATCCAGCCTGGATTCTTCTCTGTTTGCAGCTTCTATAATGGCTTTATCCCCTTTCCAGACCCAGGATGTGATCATGGTCTCCTCTTTGGTAGGTGGCTTGGCTTCTTCTTCAGCCCTATCATCTGTACTGCTTTCTTCCACAGCCCATAACCAGGGATCTACAATGGTCTCTGGCCCTGTATAATTTTATAGACCAGAACCAAGAATCAACAATGTCCTGTTCGTCCTCTAGCCTAGACTTCCAGCTGCCTTCGTTGGCAAGGAACATACAGGGACCTTCTCCTGACCAGAAACCAGACTCACTGTTAATCTCTTCAGCAGCTGTGATAAATTTACACTGGGCACCAGCAGGATACTTCATACAGATCTCTTCAGTGGTCCCAAACCAAGAGGATGTAATACTCTTATCCTTGTCCTCCAGGCTAAACTTATTCACTTCAGCACTCCCACAAGCTTCTACTCCAGGCCAGAACCATGACCCAATAATGTGCTCCTCCTCCTCTTCAGTCCCTGGCATAGTATCACAGCTGACTTCTGCCCAAGAATCCATGTGGGCCTGGTTTCCAGCCCAAAACCAAGGCCCAAATATTGTCTCCTCTTCAGCTCCTGGCCTGGCCTCTTCTCTGAACTCAGCCACTGTACTGATTTCTTCTCCAGCCCAAAACCAGGGGCCAATGACCTCTTCTTCCTCAGACTTTCGCCTGGACCCACAGTTGGCCCCAACCCCAGCTTCCATACTGGCCTCATCACTGACCCAAAGCCAAGATCCAAAAATGGTCTCTTCTTCTGCCTCTGGGTTGGTTTCTTCATTAGCCCAGCAAAAACTGGCAATGACCTTTTCTTTCTCATCTGTTGGCACTGATTTGGAAGTGGCATCAGCCTCAGTTTCCACACTGGTCTTTTCCCCAGTTCCAAGCACGGAACTGCCAATAGGCTCCTGCTCAGTCTGTGGTCTGAATGTACCACTGGTTTCTTCTTCAGTCCAGAACCAACTGCCACAATGGAATCATCCTCCACTTGAGAACCGGATTTGACAGTGGCCCTACCAACCATGCTGGAGTCTTCCGCAGCCGAGAACCAGGCCCCGGTGAGGAACTCTTCCTCTGGCCTGGCTTCTTGCTTGGCCCTAGCTCTGGCCTTGATTTTGGCTTCTTCCTTTACCACTGCTCTGGCCCTGACCTCTTTCTTGGACTTGGGCTTGGCCAAGTTATTAGCCTTCTCTCCGGGCCAGAACCAAGGCTCTTTTTTGACTACATCCATAGACCCAGACATGAAATCAATGGAAGTTTCTTGCTTGGCCCTGTGCCTGGCACTGACATTGGCCCCCTTCCTGGCTCGGGGTTTGTGCCTACCCTCCTCTCCAGCCCAAAACCAGGATTTGACACTGTCGTCACATTCAGACCCAGAACTGGATTCACAGACTTCTTTCTTAGACCTAAACCAGGACCTACTATTGGTCTCTTCCCTAGGCCTAGACCAGATACTGGTCTTTTCTCTGACCCAGAACCAGGATTTCTTGATAGATTCATCTTCAGAACCAGAACTGGAGGCAACATAGAGTTTCCAACTGGTTTGGGGCCTAGACATAGGCTCTTCTTTGGCCATGTGCCTAGACCTAGTACTGGCTTTTACCCCGTCTCTAGGATGAAGCCTTGTACTGACCTCTTCTCTACTCCAGAACCAGGAGTTCATAAAGGATCTAGACACCCATCTGAAATCACAATTGTGAAAGTTCTCCTTTTTGGATGTAGGCCTGGGATGGCACCAAGACCCCATATTGGTCTCCTCCTCTGAAACAAGCAAATGCTGGATTCGTGATTGGGACTTGACCTTAGTGCCAGGAAAGGACTCGGCATCCATACTGGCCAGTTCCCTAACTATAGATGAGACCTTAGGTTTTGCAACTGACCCAGACTCAGTACTGATCAGTGACCAGACTATAGCATTGTTGTGGGACACTCCCTCTGTCTTCAGTAGGACCTCAGCATCAAACTCAGTCTTGGCCCATGAAGAGGTTTCATCCATGGACCTTTCTACAGTGATTGCCTTGGCCTCACTCTTCGGATGTGTCTTAGTTACTGCCACGGTCTCAGTTTTGGGCCTTGCTCCAAGCATTACCTGGGCCTGGGTCCTAACCTTTGGTCTGACTACCATTGGGACTTCATTCTCTCTTTCAGCCCCACTGGCAACCTCTTTGCCAGGCTTCTTTTCAGGCTTGGCCTGGACACCAGTCTCAATCTCAGCCCCAGTCATAGTACAGTTACAGAGGAGACCTGAATAACTACAACTATCCCAGTCTCAGCTTCTACTACAGATTTCTCACAGTTTTGTATCTTCACACTCTAATTTTTTGATGACTCAGGTGATATAGTTGGAAAGAAAAGTTAGAGCCAATCACCAGTCCAGCAGTCAATAAGCCTCCTTTCCAATCCCAGCCTCAGTCAATATTACAGTCAGAGTGAAGAGAAAACACAACCAAGCTGGGAGAGGATGGATGGTTCCTGGGTAGGTACGCACCTGTTGAAGGTAGTGCTCAGCAGCAATTCCAACACCACCAGAGCTGCCACTGGAAGTCAATCTGGGAAGTGAGAATGACATGGAGGTTTGAGTCTTTTCCAACTGTCTCACTCCATGCAAAAACTCACACGGAGAGACTAGACCTTAAATGCTTGGTGGGAAAGTTAGGCTATTAAAGTCTATCACCTTCATTTTGTCTATAATTTTTATCCCCAGAGTTGCCATATTACTTTGCCTGTTATAAAATAGGTATGAAGTTGGTAGAAAAGTATCTTGGCAATGAGAGAGGCTGAGGAGCCCCAAGGCCAGACCCTAGTCACTGCTGGACTTAAGTTGGTCTCTTCTACCCCACCCAAAAGCTGTACCCACTCCCATACCAACCTGCACTGATGTAGCACAATTTCTTGCTCCTTTCTTTGATTCCAGTGGTGTCAAACTCTACAGCAGCCTGTAGGCTATCCTGAGAACAAGTAAACATATAATAGAGAATGGAGCCTAACTGCTAGAAAGACAAGCGAGAACCCTGACCCCGATACAAACATCTTTCTCTTTTAAAGGTCTAATATGCCTAATATCTTCTGTCTCCTGGTCTCTATTCTCAAGTATTTCTCTCCCATTCACAGCCCAGTCCACACCTACTCCAATATTCCTAGTATACCCTGCAGGAAACGGGAGGGTTTCTGTGGCAGTGTGCAAACTTGACATGGAGTAGGTGAGGTAGAGAAGGCCCTGCAACCACTTGGATCAAAGATATCTGCCATATTACTCTGTAGCTGTCTCCTGTGTTGCCCCTCTTTGTACAAACCTCCAGAGATTTGAACCGGATTCCTTTGCCTTTCCTTCCTTGCAGAAGTGACCAGACTTAAAGCAGGCCTATGGAAAAACAGATGAAAAGGTAAGACAGTCAAGAAATAAAAGCAGCAACTGAGTACTTGGGGGACAGACAAACACCACAAACACAGAAGTTCCCAAGTTACCTGCCTTTTAACATGTAAGAGTCCCATTAGGTAGACTATTTCCTTTTAACTTAGGCCATCTGGACCAGGTTTCTGGATAACCCCTCAACATCATATCACACTCCTCTTACTCTTTTCTTCAATTCTGAAGATTCACCACTTGTTGTTCACCTCCTTTGTGCTGCACAACAAACTGGGGGAAGAGCACCCACATATTCTAGTTTGTGTAGTGGTACTTGTATTTATGACTTCTCTCGCACCTTTATCTCCCAGTTCAGCTTTTCCACCTCCAATTCTGGATAGAGGAGAGAGAGGAAGGCAAGGGGGGTATTTAGAAACCAGGTAGAAAGGAGAATTTTAGAAAGTATTCCTGGATGCCTGACCTGCGCTGGTCGCACTCACCCCACCCCGATTCAGATGTCCAGTCAATGGCTGCTGCCCACCCTCAACCCCCCATTCCCCACACACCTTCAGAAAAACAGGTCATTTTCCCATTCCTCGTTTTCCTCAAGCCTCTCCTCTATAGATGCACCCCATGGCCTGAAATTGCCAGACCTACTGCACAGACAGGAGACTTTGGCATCAAAGAGGTGCCTATGGGAAGGGACAGCACCCGGCACGCGGGGCCCTACAGGGACCTTGGCAGAATCATGGCCCGGGCTGCTCCCATCCCGGCTCCCTCTGCCACTTCGTCCATAGCAGCCTCCCGCACAGCCCTCTCCCCGCACAGGCACCGTAGAGGGCGGGGCGCAGGCACCAGGAAAGCCTGGCGGAGACTAGTCCGCGCCGTACACCTCCCCAGCATCCGAGGGAACCCCAACCCCCCGACCCCGCCCGCGCCGGTCGCTGCTGTCTCAGCGCCAGGGATCCTCTGCGCACTTCTCTAAGGGGTCCCGTTTCGACCCTCTCGCCTTCCCGTCCTCAGGTTGCCAGGGATAGGCTGTGAGCTGGTCATCGCCCCGCGACACCCTCACTTGCCTTCGGAGGCGCAAGGTCCCGATGGTCGTCCTCCCACTCCGGTCGCAGTTCCTCTTTGGCTTCCCACCGCTCGGCGTGCGGGTAGAACAACAAAGAGGCGTCTGGCCCACTGCACCGCTGCGCCAAACCCGGCAGAGGATGTGTAGGCTGCAGCACCGACCACTCGCCGCAAGGGTGTTGGGAAGTGGGGGGCGGAGGGATACGGAATAGGCTTGAGGCCCCGCACCCACCCCCCGCCAGGCCCAGCGTAGTTCCGACCCACAAGGGGCGGGGCCGGGAAGAACGCCAGCCTGAGGGGCGGGGCCTCTCCAGCCCTCCACCGACCCCGTGGGGTGACCCCCCCCCCCCGCCACGCTTCTGGTCCTGCAGCCTAAGGGGGTCACGGGCGGCACGGCTCGGGCCGGTCGGGACGGGTCGCACTGCAGGGAGCAGCGGATGGATACAGGCCGCCCCGCAGTGTGTGTGTGTGTGTCTGAACCCGCAGACTGTTCAGTGTCCGCCCCCTCCCTTCCCCCATCACGCCAGCCATCCTTCTTGGGCGCGGGTGGCAGGGGGGCTGCTTTCACCTTCAGGGGCCGCTGGCTGGAGGAAAGTGGGAGGGGGCGCCGTGGAGGCCGAGCCCCCGCCCCTCTTCTAAGGGAGGGCAGCCCCTGATAGACCGCTGGCTGAGGAGACAAACCACTTGTCTGCGCCAGTGTCTTCATTCTTTCTGCCACACTGCTGTTGTCTCAGTCGCTGTGGTGGCACACTTTACCATTTCACTGTCCCCACAGTTGCCCAGGAAAGAGGACCTTTCCTTGACAGGACCCGCACCTGCTCAGACAATCCTGTTTCTCACCCCACAGCCAGGGGTCAGGCACCACGTAGGGGCAGTCCTGGCTCCTCTTCCTGGCTTCTGTAAGGTCTTCTCTTGCAGGGGATTCCAAGGGCTCATCATCTTTGGCAGGGTAGGAATATGCCAAGGATTAGAACCAATTGGGATCTCACATGCTTGCCATACACACCAGTCTACTTCCCCCAGCCATTCTTTGGAGAAGGCCCCGCCAAACACGAGAGAGAAACCTGCTGTTTCTTGAATCCTCTGATTCCTGCACTTCTACATCCTCTCTGTAGTCTCCATCCGCTTCATTTGTGCTCCGTTGGGCAAACAGCAACCGTGGTTATAAACAACTCAGGTTGAGCACAAAACTGCTGGCATTGCTGCCCATTTTAAAACCCAACTAAATGGCACCCTCATTGTGGTAGGCTGAATAAAGATCTCCCAGTGATGTCCGTGGGCTTCCCAGTGGCGCTAATGGAAAAGAACCCACCTGCCAATGCAGGAGACATAAGAGACCGCTTTCCTATTTGCAACCTTCAGGACTGTAAGATAATATTTTATTGTTATTGTTTTGTTTTTTTAAAACCATCAAGTTTGCAGTAAGCTGTTACAGTCGTAGTGGGAACCAAATTCTACCACCATCCTGATAAAGTCCATTCCTCTTCACTTTCTTGAATTGGACTTGCGCCCCCCGGAGGGTCAATTTGGGGGCTCATCTCTCACCACTATAACTACCCTCTTAAGCGCCTTCTTTCTTTGCTAAAGAAGAGAAATTTTGCAATCATCTTTGAGGTTCCTCTTGGAGAAAGTCCCTATTCTTTGAAAATCACTGATGCTTACCAAGATGGAAAGGAAACCTTATTCACAGCACAGCAGAGGATGAGATGGTTGAATGGCATCATTCGACTCAATGGACATGAGTTTGAGCAGACTCAGGGAGATAGTGAAAGATGGGGAAGCCTGGTGTGTTACAGTCCATGGGGTCACAATCAGTTGGACATGACTGAGCAACTGAACAGCAAAAAATCATACTACAAAATTTGATATAGTTTCATATCAGCTTTTACTTGTTATTAGATATTTATTGTAACTGCACAATATTTCAGTGATAGGAAAAAAATCTGGAGATGATTCTAAACTGTATCTAGAGACAACAAATGTCAATTTCCATAGGAAAGTCTTTCACTGTGCTCTTTCAATTACCTTAGCTGAATTGTGGGTTATGTTTTCTTTGTTCCACAGTATACGCTCTCTTGGATGAATGCCAGGCTTGAAGAAAGATATCTGAGCTCTGCTGGGATCTCTGGGTGTGTGTTAATCTCTTTGCTGCTCTGAACTGTTGCTTCTTGTTGTTAAAGTGACTGGTGCCTTTCATTTATCAACAGATATATATGAGTGTCTACTTTATCCTAGTCACTAGACATGCAGTTAAAAAAAAACATATCTCTGTTCTCTTCAGTTTACATTTACTTGTATTTTCTATTTTATTTAGATTCCTACCTAAAATTTTATGGTCATATCAATGCCAGCTTCTCTGGTAATTTCCAGATGCTGGGATATTGATCCCCAAAACATTTACTGGCAGGGGAGTGGATACTGTGAGACTATGAAATACATTTTGGACAATTTGTTCTAAATTCACTTACAGAACAGACACTATTGCTGTTAACATATATTGGAATAGAAAAGTCCTATTTCATGCTTTTTATGTTAGTTCTTAGACCGTCATGTTTAAAATCAAAGAGCAAATAAAAGATTTAAACAGAAAAAAAAAGATTTAAACAGGATGCTGACCTATGTCTGTCTGACTGTTAAATAATATTGATTTGTTGTTGTTGTTTAGTTGCCCAGTCATATCTGACTCTTTGTGACCCCGTAAACTGCAGCATGCCAGGCTTTCCTGTTCCTCACCATCTCCCCAAATTTGCCCAAGTTCATGTCCATTGCATCGGTGATGCCATCCAGCCATTTCATCCTCTGATGCCCTCTTCTCTTTTGTCCTCAATCTTTCCCAGCATCAGGGATTTTTTTCAACAAGTCAGCTGTTCACATCAGATGATCAAAATACTGGAGTTTCACCTTCAGCATTAGTCCTTCTGTTAGGTAGTTAGAATAGGAAAAAGGAGTCCAGAATGGCAGTGGCTAAAAGACAAGGAAGGAGAAAGCCCTCGAAAATAGAACAAAGGAAGGTCCAAAGACCAGAGTGAGGACCTCAGGTAGAACAAACAGTACTCCTGGCTAGCCCAATTTACATAGGGCAGGCCCAGGGGGAGGATAAAACATATAAAAAGAGGAACCAAAGGGTGGAGTGGGGTCTCTCTCCCCACACGCATGTGCACATGCGTGCTCTCTCTCTCTTTCTCTCATCTCTTCAGTTCTTTTGAGTCAGCATGCCTTCATGCCTCGAGGATGTGTTTTCCTTTATTTTCTAAATAAAACTGAGCTGTAACACAGAGTTGTAACACTGTCCTAGAGCTGTGATGAGCTAAGGGCTTTAATATCCATTGCTTCAAATTTTTGTTGTGACAAGACAGAACCAAGAAAATTACACATTCCCCTGGCATCTATGGTGCTGTGACTTGGATTTAACCTGGCTGAAACAACCTCAGCACGGCCCCTGCAAGGAGGCCAAGCACAGCAGGAGCCCAACTTGGTGAAATCTCCCTTGGTAGAAGCAGAAGGCAAAGAAAACCCAGCACAGGGGAAGTGACAAGAAGCCCATCATGATGGAAACCGGGACAGCAAAAAATGAACTCAGCAGAAAAGCTCACATGGCTCAGTCTCAGATTCGAGAAAACCTCCAGTTAAGGTAGGAGGTCCTTGCTCCTATGACTGGAGGGACATATGCCTAACGAAATCTTAATTCCTTTACAGTCTCTCGTTTCTTGTTTCCTCGAACAGGTGAGTGGCAGTGGGTGCACATGAGGGACTCTGGAGAGGCTACTCCTCAGTATGTCCCCAAAGCTCCACTCTCTGCTGAGCCCCAGTACTGTTACCCAAGCTGGTGGGAGTTCTGTCCTTAATCTTCTTTGTACCAAGGGTCAGGCCAATGAAAACTGTGAGCACAGGTCAGGTATTTAGCAGATTTTCTGACAGGCTATGAAGGGGATTCCTTGGCACGTTTTTCCCACTGCTTTTTCCTCCCATCCTTCAGCTCCTCTCTCCTGGGACTTGAACCCAACCAAAACCCATGATGCCTGGCTTCAGGACCTAATGAAGCTCATTGCAAAAATTCAGTGAGAGACACAGCAATAGGTAAGAGGTTGATTTGTTAGGATTCAGAGTACTCTGCAGGGTATAGGCCATTGCAGAGGGCAAGGGCTCCAGCCATGGAATGCAGCCTGGCTAGGTTTTTCGAGCTGGGTGAATTCATATGCTAATGAGTGGGAAGATCATCCCAACCATTGGGGAACCACCATCCACTGTCTTTTGACAGTGCCTTGGAGAAGGAAATGGTAACCCACTCCAGTATTCTTGCCTGGAAAATCCCATGGATGGAGGAGCCTGGTAGGCTATTACCCAAAGCAATCTATAGATTCAATACAATCCCTATCAGCTACCAATGGTAGTTTTCACAGAACTAGAAAAAATAATTTCAGAATTTGTATGGAAAC